CATCTAAACAGTCCTGTACTTGAAGAGAAACTCTCAACCTTGCATCCCACATTTGAAAGTTGTTCTGGTTCAGCTTTGGGATTGCAAATACACCACTGCTGTTACTTACTCCCAGGTGAAAACGTTGGGTGGATGTGTTAGCTTCTGGAGTAGTAGTAGACATCTTAATGCTAATAAATGTTGTCTCACTAAGTCAAAAGTTAAATTATCTTCTTCTCTTCACTCTCAATCCACAAAAAAATAACACTCTGCTCAATTATGTAAACTTCAAAAAGGAAAAAAGATAAAAAGGTTCAAAAATATAACAACGGGTTTTGGTGTCTCAAAAAACTTATCAAAAATGCAAACAAAGCATCCAAAAATAAACGAAGCAATTATAGCAACTGGAGCAACCATCCTCTGCTACCAAATTTGTTGTGTAATTTATAAAGGAGGTTGCCAGACACCAAGATACGTTGTTTTAAATATATACCGTATTTTTCGCTCCATAAGACGCACCTTTCCATAAGACGCACCATTTTTTAGGAGAAGAAAACAGGAAAATATAATCTGTTTTCTTCGCTCCATAAGACGCACAGACTTTCCACCCCCCTGTTTTGTGGGAAAAAAGTGCGTCTTATGGTGCGAAAAATACGGTACTTTACTAAGCCTCTTAGGAAAAGGTACACAGGGATCCCTAGTAAATAAACATAACATCTAAAAACATATACATTACATACCATATACTAATTGAGCAACATATGCATCAGTATTTCAGGTAACGCCAATAGACAGGCAAACACAAAGGTTATGCCTTGCATGTAGTATCGCACCGTCCAAGGGAGGGTGTGTGTGTGTTTTGAGGGTGAAACAAAGCTACATTTATAAAGGTGATTGACTATAGGGAACACATGAGGTTTGTTCCAAGCTTGTTCATTAAAGAGAAAGGACATGTTACAGATTGCATATTACAACACATACCTCCCCAGCTGGATCCCCCAATCACCAGCCAGTGCACACTCCTTCCTCTTCAGCTGCTCAACCTGGGCTTCCCTGCCCTGTCTCCTTGACTGATAGCCTACTCAGATTGATAGCCCATTCCTTGGATGATATCCCAGCCAGGGACTGGTCAGACAGCCAAAGAGGAGGAAGAGAGAAATACATTTCAACTGGCGAGTAGGTCATTTGCGGGGAAAAGGAATGCATATGAACTGGCGCAAACCTCCAAACCGAGGTTCATGCCCCTTTCCCTACCTGAGCCTAACGTTGTATTGTACAATACAGCCATAGTCCACAGTTCAGAAGTTCAAGGCAATAATTTCTTAAGCTAAATTAATGGCTAGGCAGTTTTTCTTATTTTAACAAATTATCTATGATTGTTAATAAATTTTCAAGAATGAGAAAACAGACTGAGCAATAACTCTCACAGGTGAAGCTAGAAAGTTCATTTGGCTCTATTATCTACATTAATGATGGGAAGTAGTAAAACCATCATATTTGATTATTGTTCCATAAAGATTGAGCACAATTTTTTAAGCTTACCATATGACTAGAATATGCTGAAACTAATAAGTGTAATGCCATCTTTTCTCTGTCTCATAAAAAATGAGGAGGCAAATGAAACACTGTATAGAACTGAAAATGATAAAACTAAGTTGTCTAGACTTGCTTTTATAGTCTTATTATTGTACTTAAAGGTAACAAACTGCCAATTAATTTAAACTAATATATGCTATTGTAATTGACAAGTTTGGACATCTTGCAAACACATTGTTCTAGTGCCAACATTTATCAGGCCTTGGCATAGCTCCAAAATAGGATTCAGCTGAGGTTCTGAAGGACTTTACATGTAGTTGAAGAGAGGGTTCTCTTTGTCAAATGTTTCTTTCACTGCTGTCCCTGGAATTTGCATCAGAAAAATATTTACTTACACTTCAGAGGGCTTCACACATTGCCATAGTTTTCAGAAGGAAAGATCTTGCATGGTTATACAGGTGGCAGCATCTCTATTATTTCTCACAACCATCAGACTCTGCATGAGATCAAAGAAGAGGCAAGAGAGAGTTCAGGAAGATGAAGAAAGGAGTTATGAGTGATAGAAAAGATAGAACATCAACTTCAGTTTTTTTATTTTCTTCTATCTAACATTGTTGGAGAATGGTTTTATAGAAATACTTATATGGCCCCAAAGGCCGTGGTTCAGAAGCCTGATGCACTGTATGTCTGCATATACAACATGGAGGTGTCAGTTTTACAGCTTAGTACTTAGGCATTTAAAAAAATACTTTTATGCAATTCCCCCTCTTTCCGAACAGTACGATTTAAACAACAGGGAGAAAAATGAACAGAAGTTTTATCCTGGTGCCACTGCATTTTTTAAAGAGCTGTTTCCCTAAAGTCTTCTAATAATGGTTCTATCTGTTTTATAGGATTCTAAGCAACAATAAGATATCAGGATTGAAGAATGGTTCCTTTGCTGGGTTGAGCCTTCTTGAACGACTGTAAGCTTTTTCATTTTATATGTTTTAAATATTAGAATAGAAGAAATCTTTCAGTTCTTGAAATGTATATTACCCCGTTTCCCTGAAAATAAGACCTAACCTGAAAATAAGCCCTAGTATGATTTTTCAGGATGCTCGTAAAATAAGCCCTACCCACAAAATAAGCCCTAGTTAAGTGAAACCCTGCCCTCCACCATTGTGCAGCACTATGCAGCAACCAGAAGATGACATGACTGTAAAATAAAACCCCTGAAAATAAGTGTTTTTGGAGCAATAATTAATATAAGTCACTGTCTTATTTTGGGGCAAACACTGTATTGTTTGTTTTAAATTGAGATACTCAGTTTCATACTAGTTGATTAACCTGAGTGAATATCTCTGCTGCTGAACATAATAAAATAAATTGTTTCAGGAAGGCAGATATTTCTGTGCTGCCAAGTATGTATGACACGACCTTAGTATCTTACTGCCGCATAAACAAGACAGAACAAATGCACATAGATTTTCATGATTACAGCCCTGGTCTCCCATTTTGAGTCTTCAAATTCTGCAAAGGTTAGGTGGTGCAATTTTTAATTATTCCCCATCCTCCCTGCAAACCTCTGCATGCCTCAAAGTCTGCTCTGGGATGGATGGTATGGTTTATTGAACTAAGTTAATGATATTTGAATTGGACCAAACAGAATTGGGGGTATTATTACCTCTCATGTTTCAGCTCAAGTTCTTGGTATGTCTGCTGTTATTAAATTTATTCTTCATATTGGTTATGAGCAGCTAGTGTTATTTTAAGATTGTTGATACAGTTCTGGCCAAAAATATTGTCACCCTTGCAATTCTGTCAGAAAAAGCAACCCTTATCTCAGAAAATTGTTACAATTGTAAATGTTTTGGTACTCATTTGTTCATTTCTTTGGTTTGCGTTGGAACAACAGAAAAACAGAGAAAAGTCAAGTCTGATACAATCCCACACAGAAACCCAAAATGCACTGGCCAAAATTATTGACACCCTGTCTAAATTGTAAGAAATAATTGCTTTTCAAGCATGTGATGCTCCTTTAATTTGTATTTAGACACACCTGTCGCAAATAAGAGGTGTGGGCAATGTAGTAATCACACTTGCAACCACTTAAGATGGAGAAAAGTTGACTCAACCTCTGTGTTGTGTGTGACACTGAGCATGGAGAAAAGAATGAAATGTAAAGAGTTGTCTGTGGATTTGAGAGGAAAAAACTGTGGAAAAATATCGACAATCTCAAATCCATCTCCAGAGATCTTAATGTTCCTGTGTCCACTGTGTGCAATATCATCAAGAGGTTTACAGCCCATGGCACTGTAGCTAATCTCCCTGGATTTGAACGGAAGAGCAAAATTACTGAAAAATTACAACAAAGGTTTGTTTGAATGGTGGATACAGAATCTAGATTAACTTCCCAACAAATTCAAGTTGATCTGCAGACACAGGCTACAAGAGTGTCAGCTGACACTATCTGTCACTATTTGAATGAAAAGGGATGCAGTAGTAGGAGACCCAGAAGGACACCACTGCTGACACAGCAAGAGTGCAGTGTGCCAAAACGTATGTGACAAAACCACAATCCTTCTGGGAAAATGTACTGTGGACAGATGAGACAAAAGTAGACATCATGGCATTGTTGACAGAAAAAGAAATGAGGCATTCAAAGAAAACACAAGTCCCTACAGTCAAACATTGTGGAGGTTCAAAGATGTTTTGGGGTTGCTTTGCTGCTTCTGGCGCTGGATGCCTTGACTGTGTGAACGGTATCATGAATCTGATGATTACCAAAGAATTTGGGGGCGCAACGTAGTGGCCAATGTCAGAAAGCTGCATCTCCACTAGAGGTAATGGGTCTTCCAGCAACATAGTGACCTGAAACACACTTCAAAAAGCACTCAGAAATGGTTACCAACAAAAGGCTGGAAAGTTCTGAAATGGCCAGCAATGAGTCCAGATCTGAATCTCATAGAACACCAGTGGAGAGATCTCAAAAGAGCAGTTGGGAGAAGGCATCTTTCAAATCTGAAGGCCCTGGAACAGTTTGCAAAAGAAGAATGGTCCAAAATTCTAGTAGAGAGGTGTAAGAAACTCATTCGTGGTTACAGGAAGTAATTGGTTTCAGTTATTTTTTCCAAAGGGGGTGCTACCAAATATTAAGTTAAGTGTGCCAATAATTTTGGCCAGTGCATTTTCGGTTTCTGTGAGAGAGTGTATCAGACCTGACATTTCTTCTCTCTGTTTTTGTGTTGTCCCAACGCAAACCAAAGAAATGAACATGTAAATACCAAAACATTTGCAACTGCAACAATTTTCTGAGAGAAGGGTTGCATTTTCTGACAGGGTGTCAATATTTTTGGCCATGACTATATTATTCTGCATATAAGTTAAATAAGCCGGGGGACAATATACAGGTTCATATGGTTGCATGTTTTGCTAATTAAGTTTATCACTTGAAATAATGATCGTGGTTTTCTGGAATTCTCATGCATCTCAGACATTAGAAATTTGAAACTGAGGATATTGGTGATACTTATAGCCTAATACTAGATAGAACTACTTTACAAAACTGCCTTGCAGTTTGACCTAGCTTTAAATAGCATTTTTAAACCAACTCTTCATTCTTGAATAATTAGCAATAGGAACAGGTTGTCACCAAATAAAAGCATGCTGAAAGCAAGCCAGGTAAAATGATTTACAAATACAGTGGCTCACTGTTCTGAAATTTTATAATATTAGTATGTAATTTGGATAATATATTATCAATTAAGTGGTGTTTTCTAGATAGTTCGAGTAATACTTAATCAATAAAAAGCCATTTTATGAGGTAAAAAACACACATCAAAATGCATTTTTCAAAATGTAACTCTAACCTGATATTTCATGTGATGGGTGTACTTGCATCTTGACTACCAGCTTCAAAATTCACAGGCGAGTATTTGTTAAAGCCAACCTCATGCCAGTCTCAATATTCAGTATGTTTTGCCTTTGTTTTGATATGAAGAAGCATTAAAAATCCACTCTCATAGAGCTATATAGAGGCAAGCGGAAGCAAAATCTGAAAAGTATGATGCCTGTCCAGGTGCAGGTACAATTGCATCCCTCAATTTCCATATCAGAGTATTGTCTTTCTTGTCTGTTCAGCCTCACTTTACCTGGTTTATCACTTCACCCAGGCATCTGGGTCAGAACAGAATGGAAATAACATAGTCAATGCTGTGTGTGGCTCCAGGAAAACACGGGCAGTTAATTTGTTTTTGTTTTTGTTTTCTTTAAAGGTTCATACCTATTTGAATACTTAGACATTCATTAAAATAGCATGATGAAGACCACCATGTTGCTCACGCACAAGGTTCATTGTGTGTTTTGAGTCAAAAGATATTTTGAAAGCAGTGTATTTATTTTTATTTATTTAATTTATTTTATTTATTTAATTTATATGCCGCCCACTCTACCCAAAGGTCTCTTTATGAATGAATGAATCAATCAATCAATCAATAACCATACATTTGTTCAGATTTTATCAATACAAGTTTTGTGTTCCCCCAGTGTCCCCTGTTTGTTTTCCCTCAAACAGAGGTCCATCTTCAGACACAAGGTACTATTTTCTCCCTTTACCCGCTGCATCCAGTGGATCTTTAGCCACACTGTACCAAATATGTTTCTTCGACCCCGGGCGGTCAAATATAACAGGTTTATTTATTGTTTGTTTGGTAAATCACAGAAATAAAGTCATAGATGTTCTTTTATTGTTCAGTCATTAAACTTGGATAGGATTACATGTTTGCCTTTTTGTATTCATTCACATTAACCAGTATAATAATATTTTCTGACTGTCTATTTTCTATTACTTTTATCTCTTATCTATCCTCTAACACAGTGGTTCTTAACGTTTGTTACTCAGGTGTTTTTGAACTGCAACTCCCAGAAACCCCAGCCAGCAAAGCTGATGGTGAAGGCTTCTGGGAGTTGCAGTCCAAAAACATCTGAGCGACAAAGGTTAAGAACCAGTGCTCTAATACTCCAACTTTCCAATCTCTGTCTTAACACTTCAAAACCTCCTCTTTAACTCCCCTCAGTCTCCAATTGTTCTCCTGACTCTGCCCCTCCAGTCCTACCATAGGCTCCTACCTTAGAGCTCCATATGATGGACAGGCGAGACTTGGGCATTCCGCCGCATACCTCCCCCCTTGGAAAGTTTGTTTCATGGGGTAAAACCTACAGTAGTTTACCCTCATGAACAATGTATGAATCAACTTACCAATATTTCCAACATCTTTTCCAATATACTTCTCAGTTATATATTTGCAATATATCCTTACTCTTTTATACATTTTAAAACATATTAATCTTATTACTTTACATTTAAATGACATTAATCAACATTTTTATTACTTGCAAGACAATCTAGTCACTTTTATCCTTATTTACCATTAATTCATCTATAAATTACATTTTTATTTATTTCATATGTATATAAACACTTGGAAAATTTTCTATAGTTAGATATTTCTTTGTTTCCATCGGTCATTCTTCCGGTCGTCTTGACATGGCGTCGGCTACCACATTTTGGTTCCCCTTCACACTCCAGATCTCGAACTCAAAGTCTTGTAAGAGTAGGGCCCACTTCATTAACTTGTTGTGATTTACCCTGATAGTTCTCAACCAGAGCAGTGGGGAATAGTCTGTGCATAGTACAAAATGTCTCCTCCATATGTATGGCCTGAACTTCTGTAACAAACATACAGTTGCAAGACACTCATATTCTATCATGGAAAGGTGTCTCTCTCCAGCCTGCAGTTTCTTACTCAGAAATGTCACCGGATGAAGGTACCCGTTGTCATCTGTCTGGCTCAGCATGACTCCTAGTCCGGTGTTGGACGCATCTGTGAAGACAGTGAACTCTCGTTGGAAATCTGGCACTCTCAAGACAGGACCGGTCATCAACGCTGTCTTCAACTTCTCGAAGGCCTCCTCGCATTCTCTCGACCACAGGATCTTTTCAGCTTTTCTTTTATGTGTTAAGTCAGATAAAGGGACAGCTATTTCGCCGAAATTCTGGATAAAGCATTATAATAGCCAACTAATCCCAAGAAAGATCTGATTTTTTTCTTTGTTGTCGGTCTAGGCCAGTTACTGATTACTTCAATCTTTGATTCTAGGGGTTTAATTATGCCTCCCCCTACCATATGGCCTAAGTATTTTAATTCTGAGTTACCCAGTTGGCATTTATTAGCCTTTACTTTTAACCTGGCCTCATTTAGCCTCTGTAGCACTTTCTCAATATGGCACAAGTGATCTGTCCACATCTGACTATAGATTCCTATATCATCGATGTATGCTACCGTGAATTATTTAAGCCCTTGTAATGTTTGGTCTATTAGTCTTTGAAATGTCGCAGGAGAATTTTGCTACCCAAAGGGGAGGATCCAAAATTCATATGGTCCAAAAGGGCTGCACAATGCGATCTTTTCCTGATTTTGGGGGTCTAACCCCACTTGCCAGAACCCTTTAGTCAGGTCTAAACTGGATATGAACTGATATCGCCCAATTGTCTCGATCAAATCATCTAGTCTAGGCATTGGGTAAGCATCAGGCTTGGTGACACGGTTCAATTTCCGATAGTCTATGCAGAAGTGTATACTGCCACCTGTTTATACTATTAGGGCTGACCACAGGCTAGATGAAGGAGCAATGATTTTTTCTTTGAACATCTCATCTTGGCGAACCTTTGCTACATATGGCCTGTTACTCTGTAAGGTGTGACAGCTTGAGGGGTTGCATCTCCTGTATCAATTTTGTGCACCACTCCCTTTGCTACACCAGGCTTATTTGAGAAGACCTGCTTGTATTTTAGTAGCAAGGTTCTTGCTTCATATTTTCGCTCTGGATATAGCATGTCACAGATCTTAACATCTTCTGGATTATATTGGGCTTCACCTCGCCCTTCCCAATATGACAATTCATGTTTATCGTTGTCCACTTCTTTCAAGCCATATAGGACATTTTCTTTTCTATAGTAAGGTTTAATCATGTTAACATGAGCCACTCTTCGACCTTCCTCTCCCTCCTGAATTATGTAATTTACTTCACTCATCTTGGAGATTACTTTAAAAGGACCTGCCCAATTGAATTGCAGTTTATTCCCTTTAATATGTTTCAGCATCAGGACTTCCTCTCCTGGACTGATTGAACTTTCTCTGGCCTTTTTATCATACCAGAGTTTGTGTTTCCCTTGCTGGCTCTGCAAGTTTTATGCTGCTAACTGGCTTCAGACAACACGATAGCTGTGTTCTGTATCAACCAACGGGGGGGGGGGGGGAGTCATTCCCTTCCCCTTCTTTCTCTAGCCGTCCAGCTGTGGGAATAGTGTTTTGTCTGCCACATTTACCCTGTGGCAGTTCATGTGGCGTCAGAGAGGAATACCCTAGCCGACCATCTCAGCAGGCTCCAATCTTGCAGCCATGAGTGGTCACTCAACAAGATCTTTCATCTTCTGTGCCATTGTTGGGGCAGACCATGGGTGGATGTGTTTGCCTCTGCAGACAACAAGAAGTGCAGTAGTTACTGCTATCGAGCAGGGATCGACCATGGTTTTTTGGGGGATGCATTCATGACCCGCTGGTCCATCAGCCTTCTGTACACGTTTCCACTGATTCCACTCATCTATAAGATAGTTATCAGAGTCCATCAGGACAATGCAGATGTCATCATGATCACCCCATGGTGATCCCCCCAGCCATGGTTCTCTGCCCTGCAGCAGAAGGCAGCAGAGCATCTCCATCTCCCGGCAATTCCTCATTTACTGACCTTACATCACAGCAGAATATTCCATCCGGACCTAGACTCCCTTCACCTAACAGCGTGGAGGCTGCTCCCACTGTAGCCAATGTCTTAAGCCATGCGTGGTAGTGCTCTACTACACTGACATACTCCTACAAGTGGAAAGTCTTTTGTATGTTCGCATCTTCACATCACTTACCTGTGCAGCTGACTTCCCTTGATGCCATCCTCCAGTTCCTCCTCCATCTCTTCTGATATGGCCTTTCACATTCTACGCTGAAAGTTTATATGGCAGCAGTAGTGGCTCATCAACCGCACTCTTCTGAAGCAGCAGCTTTGTTTCATCATCCTACTCTCAAGCAGTTCTTACACGGCTTGAGAAATATGTGCCCAGCATACAACCCTCTTACCCCACAGTGGTCCCTTCAGCTTGTACTTAACCGCCTCATGAGGCCTCCATTTGAACCCCTGGCTACAGCATCTGAACGGCTGCTCACTCTGAAGATTGCCTTCCTCCTTGCCATTACCTTGGCACGTACAGCAGGGGAGATGGCTGCTCTTAGAGTGGACCCTCCTTTTCTTTAATTCCACCCTGACAAGTTGACACGTTACCCTGACCTTTCCTTTGTGCCCAAGGTGGCCACCTAGTTTCATTTAAGCCAGCCTATTGTGCTCCCTAGTTTTTTCCCTGCACTGACTTCACCTCTCGAACATTCTTTGCACTCTTTGGATGTCAAACGAGCACTGTCCTACTACGTCTCTCGCTCCTCATCCTTCCACAATTCAAATAGGCTGTTTATCAGCTGTCAAGGTCATTCCAGAGGAGCAGCGGTCACATCCCAGACGATCTCTAGGTGGATTGTTTCTACTATTTGACTGGCATACGATCTTGCCCAGACACCTCTGCCACAAACTGTGAAGGCCCATTTGACCAGGGCAGTGGCTTCCTCTATGGCATTCCTAAGAGGTATGGACCTGTCTGACATCTGCAAGGCAGCCATATGGGCTACACTGTCTACTTTTGTGACCCATTAATGACTGGATGTCCAGGCGAAGGCTGAAGTCACAGTTGGCTGTACTGTTCTGGCCTCTGTGCTCTCGTGATGTCCCTTATCCGGGTAAGCCAGCTTGCTAGTCGCCCATTAGTGTGCATTCACAGAGACCACGAAAAGAAAAAGAGGTTACTTTCCTGTAACTCTGGTTCTTTGAGTGGTCATCTATCAATTCACATTTCCTGCCCATCCTCCCCTCTGTCCATCACATTTGCCTTTTGCATGCTGGGTAGTGGTGGACTGTTCTATGGAACTGAGGCACTTGGTGCCGTGGTAGGCTTAAGGGCAGCATGTGGGAGGTCCCGGCAACGTGTGCTTAAGATGTAGAATATTCTGAGGTTTCTCTGCACCGATGCACTAAACCCAGCGTGAATTGACTGATGACCACTCAAAGAACCAGAGTTACAGGTATGCAATGTCTTTGTCTTTGTTTATTTAAGCTGTATATGTTATTGATGTGGAGGAAAAACAACAAAAGTGCAGGATTTCAGTTATGAACATAGAATTATTTTGAACATAGTGATGTAAATAGTACTTTTTACCATTTTATGTTGCTGAAAGATACATAAATTTCATGTAAACCCATTGAGTGTAATCCTTTTTAACATCGTCCGTACACAAATAATTCTCTTCCCTTCCTACCTTATGTTACTTTCACAGGTACAGATGTAGTTGGTGATCCAGACTGTTTGGGAGATAATGAAAGGCATGTTATACAGTGGGGTCTCGACTTACGAACTTAATCCGTATTGGAAGGTGGTTCTTAGGTCGAAAAGTTTGTAGGTCGAATCTGCATTTCCCATAGGAATGCATTGAAAACCATTTAATCTGTATCTGCTCTTTTCCATCCATAGAAACTAATGGAAAGCTGCTATTCCGCCTTCTGCCACTAGAGGGGGATATTTTTTATTTTTTTCCCTTAGGTTCAGGAAACCAGGAGGAAGGCAGGGAACAGTTTGCAAAGCACTTTAGAAATCTTTTTTTTTCAACGAAGCCAATTTTAAATCATGTTTTAAAGCATGTTGTGCTGATTTTTTCAGCACAAAGATGCACAGGCAGGCTTTTTAGGTGCTGAGCAAGCCTCCCCAAGTCTCTTCGGAGCCAGCCCATCAGCTGATAGGCGGGGAGAGGAGGGTGCAGGAGGGGGGGGAAAGCACAAAATGGGTGCCAGGCTCCCTGCTGGTGTGGGCTTTTAGCTGTTTCCTGCTCTTTTTCCTGCTGTTTGGGGGCTACCAAGGCCTGGTAAGTGACTTTCTTTTATTTATTTTTAAGTTTCTGACCCTTTTTCCCCTCCAGAAGCCTCTAAGGGGAGGGAGGGGGCACTTTTTTTCCTGTACGTAACTTGAGGGAAGTTTGTATGTCGAGTCCTTATTTCCCCTATAGGGCGGGTTCGTAAGTTGAATTGTTCGCAAGTAGGGTTGTTTGTAAGTCAAGACCCCACTGTATATACCTCTATGATGGTGTTCCGTATACCCCTTCTTTATCAAGAAAATCTGCATTTGGACTGCAGGTCTTTGCTTTGTCCTATGGAGACTCTGCAATGGTCACTTTATACTCATATGGGTGAAGAATTCTATAGGTGTTATTTGCATCTAAGACATTTCAAATTTAACTATTACTGAGAGGTCTAGAGGAAATATTAGTATCATTAAAAAGTGACTTTTAAGGCTGATACTTACAAATGGCTTAGACCTAACAAATCAGTTGCAAGGTTATTTCTTTTTTCCTCTTATAAGCAGCTATCTGATCTGAGCGCCTAGTTCATTCTTTATTGTAAAACTTTATATCTTCTCTCTTTCAACATAGGGACCTCAGAAACAATTTCATAAGTGTTATAGATCCAGGAGCTTTTATAGGACTTCCGTCTCTAAAAAGACTGTAAGTATTTACATTTGTGGATTGGGAATTAAATGAAATATCAGGAGAAAATGTTCAGGTGCAGCGCCTAAGCTCTATTTTAACTGCTCTTGAGCCATAAGGATGAAGTTTCTTGCTTTGTAATGTCTTGTGGCTTTTATTTAAATCTCTCTTTCCGTGTTTTAGAATATTATGTATAGTTTTTGCTATGTCATATTAAAAATTAAAAATTAATATTTATATGGATAAAATTGTATCCCAGAGAAAGGCAGCTAAAATTACATAGTTAGGTTCTTAACTTAAAACACATACTATTTTTTAAAGGAAAACAGATAATTAATGGTTTATGCAGGCAATACTGCTCCCTACTGTAAATTTTGGATTTGAAAGTTAAGTTTCTAAGATAAAGGTGGACAAAGTTCAGCTCATAGGCAAAATTTGGGCCATCAGAAGCATTTTTGTTGTCTATAACACCCAAAAGAAATGTTTGTTTAGGAAGTCTCCTTATGTCCTTTAGGAGATAGGGAAGAAAATTTGCTGTTTTGCTGTGTACCCCATTTTTTATTTTTTAAAAAAATTATTTTTGGTAGCCTGGAAGGTACAGGGACATTTCCAGTAAAAAAAAACAAAAAAACTTTGTTAACTCAGATTTTAGTTAACAAACACACATTATAGCCATCTTGACTAAGTTACTAAAAAGGAACAAAGATTAAATATGCAAATTAATTTCTTCAGTCATGCCTCTCCTCCTTTAGTCCTCCTCCCTTGGGATCATGGCCCACAGACTACAGTGGTGCCTCGATTTATGACCATAATCCGTTCCAGAAGATGGACATAACTTGAAATGGTTGTACGTCAAAGCACCATTTCCCATAGGAATCCATTGAAATGCAATTAATCCTTTCCGGCCGGAGAAAAAAATCACCAAAAAAATCACTGCAAGACTCATTGGAAACGCAATTAATCCCTTCTGGCCGAAAGGGATGGGGGGAAGAAAAGCAATCAAGCGTGCAAGACCCATTGGAAATGCCCAGAAAACAAATGGAGCAAATTGGAAATGCACAGAGAACAAAGGAGGCAGGTCAGAAATGCAAATAAAACAAAGGAAAAAGCAAGAGAAGCATGCAGGACCCATCGGAAATGGGGGGAAGCCAAACAAACAAACAAACCCCCCAAGACCCATCAGAAATGGGGAGAAAACCCCAAAAAACAACCAAACCGCCCAAGACCCATTGGAAATGGGGGGGGGAACCAAAGAGCAACCAAGCCCCCCAAGACTCATCGGAAATGGGGGGAGCAAAAAAGCAACAAAAACCCCCAAGGCCCATCAGAAATGGGAGAAAAGAACCAAAAAACAAACCCTCCAAGACCCATCACAGCACAGAAACATTTATTTGTTTGTTTGTTTGTTTGTTTCTTTGTTTGTTTGTTTATTTATTTATTTATTTATTTATTTATTTATTTATTTATTTATTTGTACCCCACTCATTTAGTCAGCATGACTACTCTGGGTGGCTAACAACATATAAAATAAACCATTTAAAATATAGAACAAATATTACATCAATAGATAAGGACTCAAGATGAAAGAACAAAATAAATCAACATAACCCCCAGCTCAAAACCATGCTGCAAAAACACCCAGAACAGTTTTTAAAAAGCAGAAAACAGCACCTTACCTGCAAACACACACACACATGCTCACTCAGAAGCAGAAGAAAGCAGTCTCAAGCCTTCTCTGATCGCACACTCTAACTTAGGGGTGTCCAACCTTTCACCTTCCCTGGGCCACATTAGAAGATGAAAATTTGGTTTGGACCACACATACATTTGGTTTGGGCCACATGGGGGCAGCCTTAGCCATCCACCGCAGCCCCGCTCCAAGTGCGTTTACCGGCAGCTGCGATCTCAGACAGCAGAGGCTGCCAGCTTCGACTCCAGCGGCTTTATGGGGCCGCGAGGTCCACCTATTGATGGGGACGGCACAATGCAGTCACGCAGCCCCCCTGTCCCCTCCCCTCCCACTCCTTCCTTCCTTCCCTCTCTGCCCCTCTACTGTTGCGACATGCCCCGGCCACATTCCGGCCGCAAGCGCTGGCAGTGTAACTTGAAACTTTGGAATTTCTTTAAAAATAAAAAATTGCACTGGGCCGCATTATGAGCTGACCTGGGCCGCATGCGGCCCTCAGGCCGCAGGTTGGACAAGCCTGCTCTAACTGCTGGGGTGAAAGAGCTACAAAGAAGCAGCCTCATTGCCACCAACAGTTAGAAATTTGAATTTCCCGCCTTTTCCCCTGCCTTTTTCTGTTTGTAAGTGGAAACTCCAGTCGCAAGTAGAAGCAAAATTTTGCAGCCGGAGCTGGTTGTAACTCAACATGGTCGTAAGTAGGGACGTTTGTAAATCGAGGCACCACTGTATCAGCCAGTCCAGAAAATAGCTCTTGTATTTCTTAGGTTCCCCCCCCCCTCAAATTTTAAGATGTCAAGACAAAAATCTTATTTTTACATAGCAATTGAATTTACTTACAATTTACTTCAAAGTAGATGTTGACTAAAATTCCATTGCTTAGCACAAGCTTATCATAAGCATGATTGCCTGAATATGGGCATTCCCAAAATTGGTTCGTTACTTCTGGATACGATTACTGGATTTTATTTACTGCTTTAATTACGTTATTTTATCAGTGAATAGATGTATAGTCCAGTAAGAAATATTTTAGCATCTCTAATGCTATCTGTAATATTCACAGCATCTGTAATATTCACAGCCATTTTGCAAACTGTGTATAGTAGACTTATTAGCAGTTTTTAGCGGTCATATAATCACCATAGAAAGTCTAAATGATACTGTCACATTCAACATTTGTACTATTTGCTGAATGAAATAGAAGTTTGATGAGGTATATATTATATCCTGAACTGAAGCTATTATTCATGTTTCTACTACCCTGTAACAGAGACTTAACAAACAACCAGATAGGATGCCTGAATGCAGATACATTTAAAGGACTTGCAAATCTTGTCAGATTGTAAGTATCGCATGATTAAATAGAATTTGTGGTGGGTTTATCAATTAAGCTGTTTCCCTCTTCTGACAAATCTCTTTGTTAATCTGTATTAGCTGCCAGCCTATTAATTGGTTGTATCAGATTATCTCATAGACAAGGGATTTATAAATTTGTTTTGAAAACCACTAAAACTTGTAAGTACAAAAATTATTTGCATTTCCTCCAGTTACAGACCGGTATTCTGCACCATTCATGTTAATTACATAATTGCATGATTCCTTCCCCCCCCCATGCCCTGGAAATACCATCTATTCTACTGGGAGGATCTGTGGAAGGAGTATGAAACCATATTCAGGAGGATAAATAAAATATTGGTTGGTGGTCAGTTGATTTATATATGTGCTGATTGAATAAATGATATGCCTTGACCACTGAGAGACAACATACATGAATGAATACATACTGTAGGAAAAGATCAGCAGGCTTATAGAAAATCTACAGTTTATAAAAGTAAAAAATGGAATGGAATGAAATGAAATTGGAACCTCAGAATTGGAGGGGGAGCTACAGCCCAGAGAAGACTGAGCATGCTTATTATTTGAGACGGAAATGGAAACTGTAGGAAGGAAATTAATTGAAGTAAATAGGAAATCTGCACAGTAACACTATATACTCTTAAGTATTTTTTAAATTTCATAGAAATCTTTCGGGAAATTTGTTTTCATCACTTACACAAGGAACATTTGATCATCTTACTTCGCTGAAGTCTCTGTAAGTACAAATCTGTATGTGCAGCCCTTAATTTTTCAGTAGATTCTGATACTAAAATTCATTTAAGAACATTACATGGAATCTCATTTCATATTATTTTAAGGCAATATTTTAGTATTCATATTAATTTTTCTACTTTGTTTTAAAATTTTATTTTAGCACAATAGATAGCCTGAAATCCTGTTGCTCAGCATAGTGAGTTACACTAGAGTAGGCCAATTTGATGTGGTGAGTCAGCTCTTCTTTAAGTTCCTATGATTCAAATGGGCCTACTCTGGTTGTAATTTACTACTCTCAATTAGTAGGATTTCAGCCACAATGATCGAAGTATGTGTTAAAACACACAATTCGCCACTTGCCTGGTTGCCTACAACAAACAGCATTTATATCCTGTTGACTAAATATTGAAATTTGATAAAGGACAGTTGTTCATTATTTTTTATGCTGTTGTCTCTTCAAATGACAAAGAAAATGAGCATGGGCAAATAGGCTAGTAAAAATATTCTCATTTATACGGTTGAAATTTATTGTTCAGTATTCTCAGCAACAGAAGGCTAGGTAATCTAGCGGGTAATCATGTTAGTCTGTTGCAGCAGAAGACAAACCAGAAGTCATGTAGTATCCACAAAATGAATAATAGCTCAGTGATTTAGGTCTCTGGCTGCGGAGTTTGATTCCCCACTGTGCTTCCCTGACAGGGACTCGATTTGATTATACATAGGGTCCCTTCCAGCTGTGCAGTTCTAAGAGTGTTGTTGTTGATTTCTAAGGTAGTTATTGTTATTACTATTATTATCATACTAACTAGTTTTCTAGGTTATCTCTTGACTACAGATACTTGGAAGCTCAGTTTTGTAGATGTATATTGGCTTTAGTAGGATGCTGTCTCTTTAAAAGCAAAAAGCAAATAAACAAAATGTGTGTATTCTTGTATTTGTTCCAGAGAATTTCAGACTGATTATCTGCTGTGTGATTGTAATATGTTGTGGATGCAACAATGGATACAAGAAAGAAATATAACTGTTCGTGAGACCAGATGTGCTTATCCCAAGTCACTGCAAGCTCAACCAATTCTGAGTGTTAAACAGGGGCTTCTGACATGCGGTAAGAAAATTACAACTCAGTGATGTTCAATCTGTAATACACGATTTCTTCAGTTGTTGCTGGAGTGAACCCTTTTTATACACTCCCCCTTCCCTAGGTATGCATCACATTAGTCAGACAATATGGTTGGATTAGCAGTGAGGATATAATTTTTTCTTTATGAGTAGCTCTAGTTTTTGTTAACTATGGAAATATATTTCATTGCAGTATCAAGGTATTATAGTGAACCTAGTACCAAATTAAAATGGGAATAATTATCAGTTTGACCATAATCCAGCATAACATTGTATTAATGCCAGCTCTCGTGAAACAGAAGGAAAAGAGGGATTTACGTATATTTAATAAGTAGATGTCTTTTCTTAATTTTAGTACTGCTTATTTATTTATTTAAAATATTTTCATCCTGCCTTTCTTCTTAAAAAGAACCCAAGGTGTCATACATTATGAAAAAGACTAGACAATACAGTGGACCCTCAACTTACGAAAATTTTGAGGTATGAAAAGCTCCAGCCACAAAATTTTGGTTCAACTTGCGGCCGGAGCTTTGACCTACAAAAGGCAGGGGGAAAGGGTGGGAAATTCAAAGCCGCCCCCGCTGCCCTCTGCCTCCCGTCCCCGCTGCCCTCTGTCTCCCGTCCCCCGTTGCCCTCTGCCTCCTGTCCAAACAGGAGACAGAGGGCACTGTAGATGGGAGACAGAGGGCAGCGGAGGGATTTTGAAGCCCAGGAAGCTGAAAGCCGCTCCGCGCCCACTGCCTGCTTCTGGCTTCCTGGGCTTCAAAACCCCCTCCGCTGCCCTTGATGGGAGACAGAGGGCAGTGGAGGGGGTTTTGAAGCCTGAGAAGCCGAAGTCGGCAATGGGCGCCAAGCGGCTTTTATCTTCCCGGGCTTCCAAAGCTGCACCCACTGTCCTCTGTCTCTTTTACCCGTTGCCTTCTGCCTCCTGTCCCTTTGTTGTCATGAGACAGAGAGCAGCGGAGGGGGTTTTGAAGCCCAGGAAACAAAAGCCGGCACAGATTAAAAGCTGGAATGGATTAAATGGTTTTCAATGCATTCCTATGGGAAATGGACCCTTGAACTACGGACTTTTCGACCTGCAGCCACCGTTCTAATACGGATTAATTCCGTAAATCAAGGGTCCGCTGTATGTAGAAGAACTTGGGATCATCTCATATTCAAGCTGTACTAGAACTTGGGATCATCCCATAAAGCCAGGTGGCTCTGATTTATGAAAGAGTTTTCATTTACAGTGGTGCCTTGCATAGCGAGGTTAATTGGTTCCAAAAAACCAATTGCTATGGGAAAACATCGCTAAGTGAAACGCGGATTGAAAACCGGATAATCCGTTCTAATAGGAATGGATTGTCCGGTTTTCTCCCCCACCATTGGGCGCAGTGCTTTGGGAGAAGCTTGGGGGGGGGGGGGCCGGGATCG